TTACGTAATCAGAGTACAAATTATGAGTAATTGTATTCAGTTACAGTTACTGTTTGAATGAGTGGTAATTGGATTACAGTTACTTGGTTGAAATAAATGGATTACAGAGAGGTATTTTCCTGTTTTCACATTTTGGGCTATATCCCTTTTTTTTTCCCCCCGTAATTCCATTCATTGCCGGACACTAAACCAGGTCTAAAACCAGGTCTAAAGCCAGGACTAAACCAGGACTTAACCAGGACTAAAACCATGTCTAAACTATGTCTCAAACAGGATTTAACAGGACTAAATCATGCTGTGCGGACTGTGTCTCCTCGTCTTCTATCAATAATATTTTAAATTTGGTTCAGTAAAATCTGGGCTTTTTATTTTCTTTTAGCAGACAAAACATCTTATGTTAAGATTTCCTCATCTTTGCTTCTCTACAGCAAATTAATTTAAAGTATTCAGATTACATTACTCACTTTAAGTAATGTAATGGATTACTTTACAAACTACATTTTGGGGTATGTAATCTGTAATCTGTAGGGGAATACATTTTAAAAGTCACCTTCCCAACACTGTCCATACTGTGAAACATTGCCGACAATATCTCCATGGAGACAAGCGGGTGACAGACCCTCCACCAAAATGTAAGCAGTGCACCTTTAAACTTGGCAAAAGTATTTTGGTATTTTGTATTCTGTACTAAGACATTTATTTTTATTCATTTCTTTTCTACTAACGACTGAATCTCCATTGTTCCCTATAGTGTACTTCACATAATCAGACCTGCTTATATCAAAATCTTCCATGTTCAAATGCAAGCCAAGAAATAGCACATTATTTTTATACCAAAGACACAGAATTCTCCCAGGACTCTTCTCTATTTTCTTGTACAAGTCGGTAATTGCTCCCTCACTCCTTTTTTTTTTTTTTTTATCTATCTCTGCAGTAAAATCACAAACTCAGAACAGTCCCTGGACAAAAGAATAATGGACCGAAATACGTGCTGTCCTCAGAAATACTCACATTTATATAAGTATTTATCACTTTAACAAAGCTTACATGATTAAAGGGCCCATTTTAAGCTATTTTCTGATCTTTCCTTATCAAAACCATATATGGAGTTGTTTTTTGTTTCATTCACATATGCTTAACATACAAACCCTGCATATTTAGGTTAGAGTTAGGTTAGGTTAGAGGGTTATTCTCTCAAACTGAATACACACTGTTCCACCTTTTGATGTCATGTAGTGATCCAGGAAGTGCTGTTTTCAAACTCCATACACCTTCACTAGAATCATTTGGGTGATTTCACCACTGCAGCAGGCAATTTCTGCTGACCAAAAGGTAAAAGGCAGCTGTTAACTTGAAAACTGCTGCTTTGTAACATCATAAGGCAGAACAGGACATTTTGAGCTTTGGGGATGTGTAGACAGACTAATAATAAAGGGTTACTTAAACAAAACACAACTCCAGCTATGTTTTTTGTCAGATGGCAGCATTCTATCATGGCTTAAAGCTCATGAGTCAAGTTTGCATAATATGTTAGCTTTATCTATAATTTAAATGCTTAACAATTTAAATCTAGAAACCCGTGATCAGTCCATTGAGAATACAAATTTCAAATGACCAGAGTATTCATGTTGTGACTGTACAGATGAGATAAGGCAGGGCTGTGTTAAATCAAAGGGCCAGCGTGGAGCAGTTTTTCTCTTTGGCGCAGGCTTTCTTTTAACACCAGATGGATAAGAAATCTTGCAAGACTTCTGCTGTCAAGTTCAAACGTGGTTGCAAACATCACTCCGAGTATGGCTGGCAAAAGTCTGACCATTTGATAACTATGATTGTATGAGACCAATTTTTACTAAAGACTGAACCAGGTAGTCTGAGCGTTTTTAGAGGTCCCATATTACGCTAAATTGACGACTGTGAGCTTTAAGCCATGTTAGAATGTTGGAAACTCCTCAAAAATATACCTGTTTTTGTTTTGTTTCATTCACACGTTTGTTTATGTCTAAGTTCAAAATGCTGTGTTCCACTTTGTGATGTCATGAAGCGGTAGTTTTAATCTTAACAGCAAACTTTTACCTTCTGTTCAGTCGAGATAGGCCCCGTCCACACTAGTACGTATTTGAGTCATTTTTGTTGCGGATGCAGTGTTCGTCCACACTAATCTGACTGCTCCAGAGACAGAATGATCTGATGCCACCAACTCCCACAAATTCATTTGAGTATGGATCTGATCTGGCACTGGGTGGACGCCTGAAAATGGTGATACGCTGACGTAGGTCTATGCGCCGCGAAATAATTCACTGCCAAAATGCTAAGAGGCTAGAATATATGTCCATTCATATATACGGTCTATGTGTATGACCTGCAGACGTATAATCTCTGAAAAGTTTAACATGAACCATCTCCAATGCGACAGAAGCACAGAACAGACTCACCATCAGCAGCACATCCTCTGTCACAGAAAGAACATATATATTCCACTCAGTCATTTCCTTTAATTGGACAGAAGCTGAACCGCATCAGCGCACATTAGCGACCTGTTTTTTGAGTGCTTAATTTATGCAAATTAGTTATGCGGTTTTAAGTTTCATTTCTGTAAAACATAAACAAATATGCTCAAAGCTGTGTGGATAGGGAAGGCTTGTGGACACAGAAATGACGTGTCTGGACGCAGATCGTTTCTGATATGGTGATATGGTGATTCATTTGAGTGTAAACATAGCCATAGTCAATTCCAGGGCTGATTCTAGTGAAGGTGTATGGAGTTTAAAACTACAGTGGGGCACTTCCTGTATTTCCACATGACATCACAAGGTCGAACAGAGTGTTTTCCATTTGAGAAAAGAACCTAAATATGCAGGATCTGTGTGTTAAACATGTGTGAATGAAACAAAACACAACTCTAGATGTGTTTGCAATAAGGAAACAACATTATAACATAAATCGGTAACTGGTGTAGTAGGTGCCCTTTAATGCCATACTGTGGGACATTACAGCCAAAGCAAAAACATCCTCCAGCTCGAAAATACATTTGTTTGTTATTTACACCATCTGCTAATTGATGTAAAGTTATTACGTAGATAATATTATGTGAATGTGTATTTTGAGCATAAGGAGCTTTGCTGATTGTCACTCTTTGCTTTCATATAGGAAGATTGTAAAATAAATTATAGCAGTTTAAATCCCATTGCGTTAAGAGGACTACTGAGAGAGCTAATAATGCCATAACACCACTCCAGGGGAACTGTATATTGGATTCCTCAGCTCCAATCAGCAGGGGAATGATTACATAACCTCCCTGTAATCATACATTTGATGACATATTCACTAAACCACCAATGATTTTATTTTTAGAGCCCTAACAGAATTCAGTAAATAGCTGTTCTCTGTTTTGATTGTAATACCCTTTTGAATTAGGTTAGGGATATATTCACTTTTATTAAAGCATTTTTCAGTTTTCACATTAGCCAATGTCCTCAGGTCACCGCTCCCCTGCATCTGCATCTTGATTTATATTTTACTTTAGCTCAGTAAAAACCTAATCTCTTTATATTCAGATGATTCATTGTTAAAGGGCTCGTATTACACTATTTTCTGATTTATGATATAATGTTGTCCTCATCACAACCATACCTGGAGTTGTGTTTTGTTTTATTCACACACTTTTAACCCATAAACCTTGTATATTTTGGCTATGCTTTTCTCTGAAACAGAAAATACTCTGTTTCAGGAAGTGCACCACTGTGTTTTTAAGTTTCATTCACCTTCACTAGAATCATTTGGATCATTTCAGCCCCGGAATTGCCAATCTTTACTGAATAAAAAGTAAAAGATTCATGACATCACTAGGTGGAACAGAGCATTTTGAGCTTCGGCAATGTGGAGTAGTGATGCAGGATTTCTCAAACGTGTGTGAATGAAACAAAACACAACTCCAAGTATGTTTTTGAGGAGGTATACAGCATTATAACATGGCTAAGTTCACTAGAGTCAATTTTGCATAATATAGGACCTTTAAACCGTGATTGTAGAGTGTTGGAAAAACTATGTATTATATGACTTCTCTTGCAGCGTCCATCATCAGTAGAGCTGATCGTTTCAGAAAGGCTCTATCTGTTAGCACCTTGTTATTGTTGTGTGCTAATTAGCCAGCTCACGATGCTCCATTCACAGCTAAAATGAACGAAACAGGAGTTAGTTTCATCAACATTCATTTAAAGTAATGTAAGATCATGATTAGTGCCAAAGCTATTGCGTCAACAATTAGGGCTTATTTCTTTTTTTAAGTCTTGGTGCACTGTGTAACTTTTTGATTGGGATCCGTCACCTGCTTGTTTCTCATTGCTCTGCTTGGAGTGTTTCACAGTATGACATTAAACAGCTCTACTTTACATTTCTTCCATCACAAGTGGTTTTGTAGTTCAAAAATACGTAGACAAAAAGGCATTCTGACAGAGTGCGAGGTCGCCGCAACACAGATCTGACCTGTAACTTGGTCTGATTTGGTTTCCATGAAGATAGAAAGGTTTACACTGTGAAACATTCCAGACAAAGCAATACCATTTCCATGGAGGCAAGCAGGTGACAGGCCCTCCACCAGAAAAGTTACACAATAGGCTGTATTTTAATTGCCAGCCCCACCCACTTCCTGTCATCCCACCCTAATTATGAACCCTGACAGGTAAACAGTTCATCAGTACACTCATAGGCAGTGGTCTTTTTTTTTTTTTTTTTTTTTAACAACTAATAACCGTTTTACTATCTTAAAAATGATCCATTCTGTTCAATCTATTTTCAGCTCGTCTCTCCACAGATCTGAATTATAATGTAGCGTAGTGCTGTAACCTGCTTGTAACCTGCTTGTCTCCCTCGTGATGGATTTAATCTATACTGTGGAACATTCCAGACAACATTCTAATAACATTTCCATGGAGACATGCAGGTGACAGACTCTCCACTAGAAATGTTACACAGTACACCTTAAAGTTATAGCTGTCTCTCACCTTATTGGCTGCCAGGAAGTCCCTCATTGAGATCATTTCGCCTGACATCCTCCGACCAGTGTCAGTCTCGCTCTCGTTCACTGCGTCCGTCTCAATGGAGGGGTCCCTGCGCGTCCTGAGGTTGCCGGGAGCGACCACATTTCGCCGCGGGTGTCTGTGTGGGTGCCCTCTTCTGGGGAAACAACGACACGGGGCTTCCAATCTCCTTAGCAACCAATTCAGAACCTGCTTGATCACTATAGATATTACATTGAAGAGAGAGTAGATGCAGCAAACTCCGGTGAGGATGAAAAAGAAGTTACACACTCTGTAAGCAGCAGTGGGGAGCCCTTCGTAAACTGTTCTTTGACTGCTAACCATGTCCCCAAATCCGATAGTGCTAAAGGCGACAAAGCAAAAATATAAAGAGTCCAGGTATCCCCAACCTTCAGCGGCAGAGTACATGAGAGAAGCACAGCAAGAAACCAGAATAGCCGCCACCCCGAGTATTAGCATAACGCAGTACACAGACGGCTTCCATCCGGATAGGTCCTCAACTTTAGCCCGTGCCCGGCCCTCCTCTGAGGTGCGGCGGCCGTTTTGGGGCAGGACGATGTTGCTATGGCGTCGCTCGTGGCAGGACTTGAGCACCACTGCGATGACGGTGATGACGCGCTCCAGGAAGAGGTTGAAGAACAAGATGGTGGATGCGCAGCCCAACAGACCGTAGAACATGAGAAAGACTTTACCACCGATGGTAGCAGGAGTGGTCATCCCAAAACCTGAAAACGGCAAAGAAGAATGTATCAGTGCAGAGTATAAAGTACTGACAGATATTCAGAGTTCTTTCTTCAAAGATTCTGTGTTTTTCAAAGTTAAGTACTCTGTCTTATAATGGCCCATCTAAAAGCTGAATTATAGTTCTGCATTGACTCAACATACACTGCCACCGTTGCCTTGTCGCCGTCGTTTTTGATTTATGGATCTGCGTCGAGGTCTATGCACTGCTAGGATTGCTTTCATGTATACACAATGAAGCGGGAAAGCAGAGTACTGAAAAGGTATGTAATGCTGATGCAGAGAGGACCAATCACAACCCTTATTGTATGCATTGCCTTCCCCTGCTGTCTGCGTCATTTCAAAGTGTAGTTAGAAAATTTCGGAGGTGCACATCAGTTGACACTGACACTCTGTGGAGGGGATCCAAGGCAACACAGACTCTCTGCGTCATGATGCAGACGATTTGATGCATGAAAATGAATTGTGCTTTAGAGTGCTCAAATTGCTCTCACTGTCCAGCTTAGTTAAAGGGCCTGTACTATCTTATCAATCTTTGTTATAATATTTCCTCATCACAAACATACCTGGAGTTGTTTCATTCACACATGTTTAACATGCAAACCTGCATATATGTGAAGTTCTTCTTTCAAACAGAAACCACTCTGTTCCACCCTGTGATGTCATGTAGTAATGCAAGAAGTGCCTCACACACCGTCACTAGAAAAATTTGTAAGATTTCAGTCCAAAGATAAAAGGTAGCTGAAACTACCACTGCGTGGCATCACAAGGCGGAACAGAGCATTTAGACGAGGAGAAAATTCAGTTTGTCGACTGGACAAAAGTTAGTTCGGTTGAAGATATTTCGCAGCTCATCTAAGCTGCTTCTTCAGTTCTGGTCAGAGTGCTGGTGGACACTTCCTTATATCTGCAGGGAGGAGCTAACTAACTGAAACTAAAACTCCTACTTGTTCACATTTTTAGTTTGTTAGTTAAGTCTATTGACCGGTACAGGGTGTGGGGTCTAATTAGCATAATAGTTCTTGGCCATAATTCCACACCTCTGGATCTGACCTGGCTACACCTATTGTTCTCTTGTTTGTTTTGATTTAGGTTTGAGGATGGAGTTGTAAATGAAAAATAGATGGTGTCTGAGTCCTCCATTTTTCTTTAGAGAAGGGTTCTCTTTCATAATAAAAATGGCTTCTTTCACTCCCCTCTCTAACCAATTCTTTTCTCTGGCTAAAATGTGTACCTCACTGTCCTCAAATGAGTGGCCCGTGGCTTTTAAGTGACTGAGCAGACTGAGGTCCACTGCTGCTCTCTTCTCTGTGTTTGTACATCCTCTTGTGAAGTAGCTGTTTAGTTTCTCCAATGTAGCATTGAAAGTCCTCTCTGTTTGCGGATATCCAAAATGGGCCTTCAACAAAACCAAGAGAACTAAAAAACAGGACAACAGAGAATCAGAACCCAGGAGAAAGGGGGTAACTATTCCGTACATGGCTGGTGTTTCTGAAAAACTACAGAGGATTTTCAGACAACATGAGATCCCGGTCTATTTCAAACCTACAAACACTTTAAGATAGAGACTGGTCCAACCAAAGGACAAAACACCGAGCCACAAACAAAGCAATGTGGTCTACTCCATTCAGTGCAGTGAAGACTGCAGTGAACACTACACTGGAGAAACTAAACAGCTACTTCACAAGAGGATGTACCAACACAGACGAGAGAGCAGCAGTGGACCTCAGTCTGTTGTGCATTTCCACTTAAAAGCCACGGGCCACTCATTTGAGGACAGTGAGGTACAGATTTTAGCCAGAGAAAAGAATTGGTTTGAGAGGGGAGTGAAAGAAGCCATTTTTGTTAAGAAAGAGAATCCTTCTCTAAACAGAAATGGAGGACTCTCCTATTTACAACTCCTTACTCAAACCTAAATCAAAACAAACAAGAGAACAATAGGTGTAGCCAGGTCAGGTCCAGAGGTGTGGAAGCTCCATTATGGCCATGAATTGTTATGCTAATTAGACCCCACACCCTGGTCAATAGACCAAACTAACAAACAGAAACTGTAAACAAGTAGGAGGGTTAGTTTCAGTTAGTTAGCTCCTCCCTGCAGATATAAGGAAGTGTCCACCAGCGTCTTACCAGAACTGAAAAAGCAGCTTGGATGAGCTTCGAAACGTCTTCAACCAAACTAACCTAACCTAACTTTTGTCCAGTCGACAAACTGAATTTTCTCCTCGCCATGGATTCTACCTGGACGACCGCGGGATTCTTCACACAGAGCATTTAGAGTTTTGAGGATGTAGACAGACTTATGATAAATGGTTACTTAAATATGTGTGAATGAAACAACAGGTATGATTGTGATGAGGTACCACCATTGTAATGTGGCCTAGAGCTCACAAGAGTGAATTTTGCATAAAACAGGCCCTTTAAACCTGCAGTTTTATTATCTTGATACAAGCTGCTTCCTTCTTTGCCGCACAGGTAGATTGACACAGGTCATGTTTGCTTTGTTTGCATTACACAAATTCCTGGAAACCAAAACCTGGATGTATTTCCAGTAGGACAGGAAATTGTTAAAACACCATTGTACAAAATACATAGATAATAATACAGCTAGGAACCAAAAGTGACAAACTTTATGTTCCTGTCAGAAAAAAATATATAAAAGAAATCTAAAAACAAAAACAAAAGATCATCCTAACAGGTTGTTGGGTCACTACATTTATAACTCTATATGTCAGAATATTTTGCACTTTACTAGAATACTAATCTCAAAGTGCTAGAATACTACCACTTTGAGATTTTTTTTATTTTAAGTGTAACATAAATAAAATGTATTATTGATATTAGCATTACTTTTGAATCACTGAACACATTGATTTAACATATGGGTAACTGAAAATTGTGTGATGTGATCCCAAGCTCTATAGGTGGATAAGTTTTTGTTTGATCCAGGTCAGGTAGCAAAAGGTATACGTGAGTGGTCAGCGTGTTCTTTGTCAATACACTGAACGATGATTGCTTTTATGTGATGTGTTTTGAACTATGTCCCTCGTGTTCTAGGAAGCCAACAACAGTTTTTTCCAACAGGCTGCACAAATTATGTCTAAATGAGCATGGAGGCTGCACGTAGCTCGCTTTCGCCCATGGCACAGCTGCTCTTAATGCACTCACACTCATAAAGGTGATCTTTTATCAGCTCGTGTTTACTTTATCAAATCTAAGTGCTTTGATTTTTATATACAACCAGCGCCATTTTTTTATTACTGATTCCATTCAACTGGGATAAATAGGCTGAGCGAAAATGCTGTCTTTTGTCCTTCAGTAAAATTGCTCATCTTTCGATCAAGTGAAATTAGAATTACATAAAGAGCCCATTTAGAGTGTGCATGGCAGGTTTTGATGATTTTCTAATTTTGACTTAACGTGATGGGATAGTACCAGTACCAGTACCATTTACACCAATCGAGAAACAATTTGTAGAAACATTTACATTTTCATAATAATGTCATCACACCAGGGAGAATTCTATCCAGAAGTTTGGCACAATTTACACAATAGAAACACATTTTATCTGATACTTTAAACATTATATCAACAAAATAAAGGTGCTTTCTTATATTTTATTTGTCCAGTATTAATTTCCGTGTAAATTAGAGGAGTTTTGGCCCAGTGTACAAGATGGTTAGCCTGATTCATCAGCCGGTTTTACTTCGTTTCACTTCGTACAAATCGCCTGACCTCGCAGTGTTAGAATTCGTTTGCTCGACGGTAGGTGGGTTCTTTTTGTCATTTAACCAGTCGCTACTATTTGGTAGTCATGTATGGCTAACTGGTATATTAATCTTTTCCCAAATCCCGTAGTAAGAAGGGCAAAAATGTCTTTCCCCTTGATGAAATTCACCAAACATACTCTTTGTTCCGGCTTTAAATCCTTGATCTCGGGAATCATTGATAACACTGAATATATGGCTCTTCGCTGATTGGCTGGTGCCCAAACTTGCACTTCCAGGAATCTGACAAACCATCTGTTTTATTCTGATTCCTGACCTAGTTGCTGGAGAGAAATGGAATTGAGTGGAGGTACTAGGTGGCGCCAGCCTGGCTACAAGATGGTTGCTACATTTATGGAATTCCCTAGCATAATGTCACAATTTCCAACCAGGAAGTATATTTTAAACCAAAAAAATCCCCAGTAACGATCCCCCATATAACGATCTTAACTGTGTTTTAGTAACATTACAGTCGTGGTCTAACCTGTCTTTAAGCGCTTTAATAGTGTACTGTATAACTTTTTTGGATGGGGCTCCTTCACCTGTTTGTTTCTTTGAATATGTCACTGCTCTGCCTGGAATGTTCCACAGTATGACATTAAACACCTCTAACTTTTAGTCCAGTTTCGTCTCCATGAAGAATGAAGGTTTAATGTCATACTGTGAAACATTCCAGACAAAGCAATAACATCTCCATGGAGAAAAGCATTTGACGGACCCTCCACCAGAAAAGTTACATAGTGCACCTTTAAGATTGATGAATTGATTGATAGATTTTTTTTCTTGCTTTCAGTCCTGAAGTGTAAGAATTAATCTGGACAGTGGAGTGAATAGATTATAGAAGGGGTAGACAGAGCAGACAACTGTTCATGCAGGGGAAATTCATCTTACTAATGCACTTCCTTTGATAGAGAGAGATTATTAAGCAAAATGGATCAAATGAATTCTCCATCCGTACACGTTTTGACAGGCCTTGGAAGCTACTGAGAGTAACAAGGCCAGTACAAACACTCAAAAACAGATTATTGCACCAGAACTGAACATACCTGATTTAACTAAATGTTCTTCATCTTTTGTGTCAATAGTTGAACTGAGTCATAATTTTGTCTGCATAAAACTGTTCGGTAAGCCTTTGAAATGACTCATGTTATATTCATTACAAACCATGGTGAGTGTTTATGTGTGAGATGATCATTTAGGCTTCATTAGTTGAACATGAT